ACACTCCGTATCATCCAACCAAGCGTTGCTGCTCTGGGTAGCTCTGATATTCAACTGCTTAGTTTCATGAATAGTGATGATGTCAGCAGCCGAAAGTGGCTATCACAACATCCAGTTCATAATACCGGCTTCATGCGGCGAAAGCACACCGCACCAGTGCTTCATTTTGTCTTTGGGACGATTTCAGCAGGTCATTGTTCCATGATTCCATGATATTTAAGCGCCTGCATTGCATCGGTTGCGAGATCTCATCTCTGATATGAGCTGAAAGAGGGCACGTTGAATTACCAGCAAGACCTTCCATTATCCGCGGACAGAAATACGTCCCGATGCTCTGGGGCAGCTATCACAAATAAAACTATCGAAGCGATTGGGAAGCTACCCCCGCACCTTGGGGTTATATTTTATTTTACAGCAGCTGTCAGTTTAGAAGGAAAGGGGCTAGAAAAATCAAATATATAAAGGCTTCCACTGCTGGAACATATAACGACTACTACGTTTGATTGTAACAACAACGAGGGGAAGAAAAGCGTTTGACTGCTAGGATGTTAGTCTCCCTTTGAGCACCACTTGTGGCACCCTTCTTTCATGAAGTTTATGGTTCGGCCCTAATCTTCGTTTCTTTTCCATCAGCCATGAGTGACCTATTGTTCCTCTTTGTTCTAAGGCTATATCTAGAACTTTGTGCTTGTAATCTCATGCTTCCCTCCCATAAAGTGGTACTGAACGATAATAACAAATACGCGTTAAAATACTGCGTAAAGCCAAACAAACTGCTTTTCATGACTCCGAATTAGGCGCCATTACCGGGTACTTCACTATTAACGATAATAACAGCCACTGACCTGTATTAAAGGGACAAACTCGAGGATTGGTTCGTTTTGCTTTCTTTATTACTAACAGCGACTTTAAATCATTCTACCAGAATGTGCAGCAGTTGTATTGTTCTTTCCTACATAAGGGCAGTTGCAAGTCTGTCGGTTTTCTGTTATCGATCGATTTTACGGTTTCTTATGCGCTTTCAAAACTGCTGACGCAGAAGTACGTACAATCTGCCATTTCCACGTCTGTACAGAATGAGCTAGAAGCTTGGCTTCTGGAGAATCAGACTTAGTGAATTATCCCGGCGATCGCTAACACTGCCAGGTGTCGTGAGGATGTATTCGAACTGAAATTTATTTGCTGCGAACAAGATAATTTCGAGTAATTCGTACTGCTGGGAAATAAGTTGAATTGCGCTTTAATGACTGGTAATCCGCAGCGCAGCACATGCTGCCAGATTTTCATTGTTTACGAGTAGAATATTCGCAACGATAATAATAGCTTTGTAGTTATCGATTAAACGTAATCAACACCAGTCATGTTTCTCAGCAAATATATAACGCAAAGATACAGAAATTCACAGCAGTGGCATAGAATGAACTCTATGAGGAACAGTTTGCATAGATCACTTAACATAGGCCGATAATAGTCATAAATATTGATTTGAATGAAATGAAATCAGACCAAAGCAACACACCGGAACGTAACAGTGAAAACCCTTGAGTTCAGCTGTCTCCATGAGTAACAAATCGAGCTGAAGCTCGGATGAGCATACAACATGAACGTTTTACCCGCGAACAGGTGCGAAGCTCACCGTTCTGAATGAAAGAACGCGTGACAGGAATTTTGATTGCTCATAACGGAAAAAATGCTGGTATCCTCATTAGCACCTCAAGCCATAACAGCTGAAGGTAAGCTCCTCGGATATGCGCCAAAATTTGCACATCTTCCATACTGGTTTATTCGACAAGTTTAACTTCGATTACCAGAAGCGTGTTTAAAATTTTACAGTGTTTTCCCTTCAGCGGGCTTTGAAACTTTTTAGACGGAAGTGCAACACGTTCAAGGTAGAAACCAAAGATGCATGTTTACTTCACAGTACTTCACGTATGCGCATATTACCGTATAACTTACCGACATACCGGCAGTTTCTTACTACATAAACTAATTTAACACCTGACCGACTGTTCTAATGATTGATTAACGAAAATATATTGGTCATTCATATGATCTATCCAGGAACACTCGCATCATGTTGCTAAAGAAGAAACGTCCAGGAATTATCGATAAAATCGCCGTCGCCCAGGGCTAAGATTTATCGAAAAGAGCGCAATTATTAATGTACTGTTACAACGCAATAAAACTGTGACTCATGAATCCTCGCTTGATCGTTCAGTGTGTTTTTGAGTCACATGAGTCACAGTTGATCAGCGCTCGTGTAATGGCTCATGAAAAGAAGACGTACAAAGACTCGTCGCCACGGTTTGTAATTGAGTGTTCAATCAATTAACCTAGAACTGGACATGTGATAACGCGGACCAGCTAATTCCCGGAAGGTTTGCAGTCGATAGAATTTAAGTCTTTCTCGCACGGCCATCATTTGTGACTCTGTTGCTTCACATTACTACACGATAACGAATGACTCTTCCAAGACCAGATTTCATGGCATCTTGCGCCGCCCCCTGCTCCTGTTTGACGAGAGGGAATTTATGCGGGCTATGGCTCTAGGGTATTTGAGCACGTGCACCTCTAAATGCATATTACATTATTTCATATTCTAGAGCAACCTCGTTCTCGTCGCGAACGTTGTTTCAGGAGCTAGTACTTCTTATATGTTACCGTATAAACATCGTAAGTTGTTCGTACACTAGATTATGTCAAATGACGAATGGTTCCTCCAAGAACAGCTTGCGACACGATATTTATCTAAATGTTTCCAGCCTACAGTGCCTCACTATTCTGAACAGTGTCTACAATTATATAACCACATCGACATGTGATCGCGAGCTTTCTTGCAAGCAGGAATGATCTTTCAGTTGGTCAGTCATTTTTGATGATCGCGCATACTTTCGGGTCGCGGAGTCAATGTGTCAGACAGTGCCTCCGGCGTCGCGATCCAGTCTTTGAGTTTCGGCAGAAGATAGCCCTAGTCTGAAGCGAAGTCTTTCGAAACACTTGCCCAAGTTATTCTCGGCCGCCCCTGGGGCCTTAGAACGGTTGCTTAGGCAAATAGTAGCTGTTTAACTCTTCTTTTCAGAAGCATTCGCAAAACGCGCCCCGACCATCACAGATGTGACTTCTCAATCTGAAGAAGTAGCAGCTGTACAGCGAGGCTGCACTGATTACCTGCTGTCCAGAATATGCTCTGACGCGTGAAGCCGCGATTCGGCTCAGAAAACTCATTTCAGGCGACTGAACCTCGGGTCGAAGTTTTACAGCTTTTGCCAACGTTTCATGACCGTAGATGAACAGGACCAGGATGAAGGTCGATTTGAATACAAGGAGTCTAAGGAGTCTGACAGTCAGAACGGTTCGGGATTGTCAAGGCTAA